CCTATGACCAACAATATCTTAAACACCACCACCAGTCCTAAGTTAGGGGTGGGTTTAGGTTGGGGTGGGTTTAGGTTAAAAAGTGTATAACTATCTGTATATAAAACAATAGAAGTCTATGTAATGTCCCCATTTAGATAGCAAGGTAAACGTGTGTGTGTGTGTGTGTGTAAAATAGTATATCAGTCTGGCGAGTAAACAAAAAAATGTACTAGCCAATGGCGATTATATTGCCAAGGTGTGCGTAGAGGGTTGTAGTGAAATAAAATATCTACAGCACACTGTAAAACAAGTGAAAATAATACAACCACACCGACAGACATTTAGACAAGAGAGACTGGAGTAATGATGCACAAAATTCAGCTTTGCCAGCAAATAATAAAATTACATTTTAAAATAGAAAACAGCTATTTTAAACTTGAATAATATTTCACAATGTTACTGTTTTTACTGTATTTTAGATTTTTTTTTAAATGCAGTCTTGGTGAGCCAAAGAGTCTTCTTTCAAAAATATAAAAAAATCCTAATTATTCTCCATAACAGCCAAAGAGCAGCAGTCGAGGAGGATCGCAGATTTCCCACAATCCCCCCTGGGCCTCTACTGCAGTCCCTCCACTCTCACCGTTACATTGTCAGATGCACATGTCAACCCATGGCCACAGCGGCACCCCACAGGGAAGCACCATCTCCTCTCTGCTCACGCAACAAACGCCACTTCTCACCCCCAAAACAGAAAAACTCTCCCCAGTACAAATGCACACAAGTGACAGGAGCAGTTTAACAGGTGTGTTGATTTGTGTGGTTTTAGAGGAATAGTTCACCCAAAGATTAAAATGAGTAAAAAATGTACTAACCCTCAGGCCATCCAAGATGTAGATGAGTTTGTTTCTTCATCCCAACAGATTTGGAGAAATTTTGCTCACTAGTGGATCCTCTGCAGTGAATGGGTGCCGTCAGAATGAGAGTCCAAACAGCTGATAAAAACATCACAATAATCCACAAGTAATCCACACCACTCCAGTCCATCAGTTAATGTCTCGTGAAGTGAAAAGCTGCATGTTTGTATAAAAGCAAATCTAACATTAAGACGTTTTTAACTTCAAACTGTTGCTTCCTGCTAAAATACGAATCCATAATGTTGCTTCCTCCAGTGGAAAAAAGTGGTCTGGTCTGAATCAGGAGTGAAATATGCACAGATCAAGCACCGTTTACAAGCAAAACAGCCCAAAGCGAATATGTTGGTGGATTTTAATGTGAGAGAACAACAGGACCTTTTTACTGGAGGAAGCGATATTATGGATTATGGACTGGTATTTTGGCCAGAAGCAATGGTTTGAATTTAAAAATGTCTTAATGATGGATTCATTTCTTACAGTCATGCAGCTTTTGGCTTCACAAAACATTAACTGATGGACTGGAGTGCTGTGGATTACTTGTGGATTATTGTGATGTTTTTATCAGCTGTTTGGACTCTCATTCTGACGGCACCCATTCATCCATTGCTGAGACACTGATGCAATGCTACATTTCTCCAAATCTGATGAAGAAACAAACTCATCTACATTATCAGCAAATTACAGTTACAGTATTTACATTTACAACTATATGATGTCATGCTTAATAACTCAAGCATTGTGTTTTAATTCAAGAGGAATGAAATGTCTTATTTTGAAATGTATTTTTAGTTAGCTTTTCAGGAAACATGGGACAGACGTCACCTACGAATCCACCAGAGAAAAGCCCAGAGTCGTTGCCTGGACAAGCCAAGATGGAGTCCACAAGAGTAAAAACACAAATCCATCCACAATTATTTTATAACCCCACAGTTTGTGTTTCTAATGCAGGATTTCTGCAGGTCCATAAACAGTCTTAGTTATGATTTCAGGAGGTCTTAAATTTTGGGGCGGAAAGACAAGAATTGCGATATGGCTGAATGTGACGATTAAACTTCAAAAGGCTATGATTTCATTGAATGAATATGAGCGCTGCACGTTTCTTTGTGTACAGCCATTACGGAGGAAACCGATATATTTCTGCCGCTCTGTAAGCGCCTCCTGCTGGCAGAGAATGAATTTGCATGTTCAATAAGCCAGTCTGCTGTTTTTGTTCAGACCAATGTGAAAATCAACCCATGATTTTTACGCTGCAAACACGCAGAATTGTAAATGTGAACTGGTGGATCGACAAGAAGATAATGCATTATAAAAATTTTAACAATTAAGACAGTAAAATATATTTATGTTATTTAATTAATATAATAGTTGATTGAAAATAAATTGTTTAAAGTAATATAATAATTGATACTTTTGACTCATCCGTTTTCTTAAAAATGGTTTAAAGGCTGAAATGTGAATTTTGTCATTTTATGAAAACTTTGTTTTTGTGAAAACCTGTATTTGAACTGTAAATCATGCTTTTTACAGTCATTTTACAGTTTAATATGTTACTATAGACATGGTCCTACCCCGCTCATATGGTATTCATTTTATTTGTGCAGGACTTAAAAAGTCTTAAATTTGAGCTTAAAAATCCTGCAGAAACCCTGTAATGTTGTCTTATTTTATAGACAGACACACGACGGATCACACACATTTCTGCCGAGCAGAAGAGACGGTTCAACATCAAGCTCGGCTTCGACACGTTACACAGTCTGGTGACGACTCTCAGCTCACAGCCCAGTGTAAAGGTAACACTCATTTCAGTGGCTCTATCAGACAGCACAGGTGAAAAAGAAGTGTGCTTAATTGTATTGAATGTGCACTTGTAGTGTACATCAAACCTTAAAAGCATGTTTTTTAAAAACTCTACTTGCAGATAATATAAGTTGGTCAAGAAACATAATCATGAAAGTGTCTCTCTTTAAGTAAACTTTTAAAAAGTGCACTTTGTAATCATGTCAAATTAAATGTTTTACTTTAAAGTACATTTTAAATTTTGTCACACTTTAAAGAAATACACTTATTTTGATGTGTTGTCATCTGTAGTGTGCGCTTGGATATTACTTTTAATGTTAATATGGTTGAAGTACTAAAATTACTAAAACTTAAATAAAAATAAATTACAGCTGAATAGAAATATAAAAAAAATACAAAAATGAAAAAAAAAATACTAACTTAAAAATTAAAATTAAAAAATAAAAGCTTATTTAAAATATTAATATTAAAATATTGCTATAAAAGTTAAACTCAAATTAAAATGAAAATATAAAAAATAAAAGATCATTTAAATTTTATTAATAAATACTGTAATAACAAGTTTCAATAGAAATTACATTGAAGTGTATTATAGTTTATCATAATATACATTTGGCAGAACACTTTAAATGTATTTTTAAGACAGTAGAAGTAATTATGAAATTCCATATAAAGATATAAAGCACTCTTAAGTTTAAACTAATACATTTTCATTTAATTGTAAATAACATGCATTTAAGTGTACGAAAACATTAAAGTCATTTCGCACTACAGTATATTGTTTTTGTAATAAGTACTCAAATAAATAGTATGCTGAAGTGTACTTCTTTTTCACAAGGGAATAATAGCGATGCATTTGAGCTTCTAAGTTGCTTCAGATGAATATGTCTGGGAGATTTCTCATCTGGTTTAATATCTTCACCTCTGTACTCTCATTCCTCTCGGGCTCAGATCAGTAAGGCCATGACGCTGCAGAAGACGGCGGAGTACATCAGTAAGATGCAGCAGGAGAGAGCTCAGCTCCACGAGGAGGCCCAGAGACTCCGAGACGAGATCCTCACGCTCAACTCTGCCATCAAGTGAGTGCATTTGGGCTGTTTTACAACGTGTGGTGAACATAGTTATGAGAGACATCTACATGAATGCGTGAGTGTGATTGTATCTGGACTGTGTGTATGCAGTGCGTGTCAGCAGCAGCTTCCGGCTACAGGCGTCCCAATAACACGACAGCGCTTCGACCACATGAGGGAGAAGTTCAGAGAGTACGTGAGAGCTCAAACGCTGCAGAACTGGAAGTTCTGGATCGTATCCTATACAAAGCGGTTTCAAATCTCAAATCAAATGGCTGATTGACAGAGAAAGTCTTGTTGGTTAAGCAACCCAGGATAACAGGGTAAAAGAAATGAACTAACAGAGATCACCGTACTTCTACAATTGATTAAAAAATCGTAGAAACGTTATAACTCGCATAGCAATTTAGGATTAGGATTTAGTTTTTGAGGAATAGCAAGTTCAAAAGAACAGCATTTGAAATTGAAATTATAAATGCTATAATTATATATGTCTCTACTGTCACTTTCAATCCTTTTAATGCGTATTTGCTGAATACAACAAATATTTTTTTTTCTGCCAAGCAACTTGGCAGTCATACAGAATTCACCCGAAATCACCAGTGTGTGTTTATCTGCATCTTACAACGGCAGAACCTGCTTATCCAATCAGAAACCGAGTCGGATCTATCAGATATTATCAGTTTTATCGTAATACTTCTACCATGTCTTGTGTTTCTCTCCAGCTGTTTTGAGTTCCCTCCGTCTGCTCTGCACCTCCACATCAATCCTCTCAGACCCCAGTCTGGTTCCTGAACAGGCCGTCCAGGCCGTCTCTCACGGACATTCATCCCACAGCTACAGCCAATGACAGCACACGCTCGCAAAACCACAGCCAATCACACGACCCACATGCGCATCCAATCAGAACACTCGTCCCGCAGCAACGACCAATGACATTTTACTCTCTCACAAATGCAGCCAATAATGCTCTTTCCCACAAATGTGCAAGTGCTTATTGATGGTAAAATGACTACAGCTTTAGTTGAGTTTTTATTATTTATAGGAAAAACGAGATGATGATCAGAATTGATGCGGAGAAGAAAGAGGAATTGATGTGAGCCAGATTGAAACAGAGGGTTCAGTATATTGTATTCAGTTCAGTTCATTGTTCACGTGCCGTTTAACGCCTCACTGATGAAGACACAGCAAACATTTTGTTGTTGTTATTGTTTTGTAATTCTCATAAAACTATCAGTCAGTGTGAGTGTGATACAGTGGGGCATATTATCTATAACGTTCTGTGCCTTGTTTATGTTTCCACATGTAATTTCAGCTTTGGACTGTTTGGCTGCTCTTTTAAAAAACTCCTCCCAGGAA